GCCTTTCTTCTTCGTTCGCCATGTTGCTTTAATTACCGCGAGGGCTATTAAGCCTCGTTTCGGTGCAACTTCCGGTTTTTTCTGGAATCGGTGTATTCACTTTGAGATGGATCACAAACATGCAATCTAATTATCAATACTAATTTGGATGTAATTTCGTTGCATTGAGGGGGGTTTTGTGGTGATATTGACAAGAGCAACATTAAATTACTTTTGTTGAAAAAAAAACGTTTCAGAGCGGAAAACAACACGGTGTACTAACCTGCGACGTCAATTGCGTGTACGAGGTAATAAAGGAAGGAAATGAATCGGAAAACAAGACGGTGTACAAACCTGCGACGATACAAACGACAACAACGAAGGCAGGAAAAATTTCCGCTGGGAATCCTGACCTAGCAACGATTACACATACTGAGATGTTTACCGGTATTCCAGTCGTCTGTCCTTTATGATCCTTTCGTAGGTCGGATAGCAGCGAAGTTTTGTCGCAACCTGTATTTCCTCGTTGTTTACATTCGCCTGCGCCAAATAGACACCACCTCTGACGTCTTGCCTCGACCCTCTTGTTTGCACGCTAATAATTGAAGAGAAACTGACCCGCCACCCGCAATGCTTGGCGCTTTTTCTGATCCGAAAGAAGAATTAATGTTTTCAAAACCAAGGAGGAACCTTTTAATAGGTAAGATCGACATTTCGAAATCTAATCGTCTAATCTAATCGTCTTTGAATCTGTAATGCGTCACGCCTTTCGAAAACAAGAAATAGATGTAAACAAGGGGTTTGCAGAAGTCCCAAAATTAAATTTAGAGATGAAGTTTGCTCACTATTAACTCGCAGTTTGCTCTGTACAACAGCAAAAAAGACCATCGAACTCAACCTCGTTCCCAGGGAACGAGGTTGCATCGAACTGAGGATACACTTTGTTTTCCCATGCAGCGTGACGTTAAAAATAGAATTTTAGCCTAGACAATGGTAAGGAGTTGGCGAGTTAGAAATGTTTACGTACGTTAATAACGATGTCACAGCTTAAAAATTCTCTTCTGCAGTCCAGCTAACTATTTTTTTGCAGATCTTTCATAAATCATGAATAACAATCGCAGAAAGTCGGAATAAGGTGATATTCTTCGCTAAATATTTGGCTGGAATATTTCTGACTAATGACTTTTTTTGGACTTTGCGAGACCGATTACTCCGATTTGCCTGTGGATGCCAGTTTTACCTAAACTGGATATTGATAACAGTGCAAGAGACTATCACAAAATTGTTTTTCTGTGGAAATAAATTGCCGCACTTTTGAAAAATGACTCGCTGAAAATGGCTAAAATTTGAGTCACGCTCAAATTATGATTCGGCGGCTTAAAGTTGCCCGAAATTTCGGCCATTTTCGACCGCTTGAGAGGCCAAAATCATGGTGTGGCGATATCTCGAAGAAACCCGAACGCCTACCTCGGCAAATGTCATGGTTGTTAATCTTTTCGGATAGCTTTTATACTGTGAAAAGATGAAGATAAACGGCCGACCTCGATCTTTTGGTACTGTCCGGTTTTCTCTGACAATGACACTAAATTGCCTGTACAAAATATGCGTGAATCAGTTTATCAAGTTGTTACAAAAGCGTAATTGCATGTTAAAAATCCGTTGTTTTCTTACTACGAGTCGACCACCATTCTAGCACTTTCTGTTTTATGGTTTCTGTTTTCCCATAAGCCTACGATTTCATTAATATGTCTTATATTACCTTGGTTTCACAAGTCGTATTTTTCCTTAATTTATTGATCTGTTTCATTCAAGAAAAGATAGTCTGGTGGTCTGTACCAAGTCAAAACTGTGATATCCTCATGGTACCCAAAATTCTTTGTTGCATTCTTTTCTTATTTTCCGTTTTTTTATTTTGCTGAACTGTTTATAATAACCTTATAACAACCTTAATATTTGTCATACCTGAAGGAATACACCAATAACGGACAGGCCATCGGTTTTATCAGCAGCGGTAGCAAAATCGCGGTACTTTGTGTTATAAGTCACCAAGTGAAGCTACAAAAGAGAGAAAAGAGATAATGAAGAAATACGGATTAGTTAATACCCTTATTGTTTTATTAAAAACTATGTCGTATATGTACAACAACGCAAAAATAATGGACACTACATGGCCGCGCGGAGATACTAAATTTCTCTTCGAGTGTTAAAGTGAGCGCAGCGAACTAGTGAAATATTTTTGAATGCGAGAAGAGAAATTTCGTGTTTCCAAGTGGCCATGTAATGTTCTATTTATTATATAAACATCAATGAAATAAAAAAAACCATTTCACTTTCGCTGCGAAAGGCGCCATTTGGTATGTAAGGATAGCAACGGCGATCTTTTCATATGTGAAGATAACATGCCATTTTCACGTGTGAAAATATCAATTTTTCGCGCGAAAGTTCAACTGGTATTTCACTGGTTTTTATATAATAAAAGACGCTATCAAACATCAAACAACTTGAATACTAAAATAGATTAAGAAATTGGAAAGTTTTCTTCCAGTGCAATCGACTGATAGCTTACCGAGAAAATTTCACATTATTCAAACTATATTATACTTAGTGTCTCATTCATATAGTTGTTTTCATACCAACTGTCAAGAAATATGACTCCTAGGCAGAGACATTCTAGTGTACAATTACATCGCGTACCTCTCCGGAATATGCGTCGCCGTCCACAGTGTGCTCAGATCCTTCGTCGTCTTTACAACCAAAATGAAAATGAAACTGTTGCAGTTTGTACTTGCTATTTCCTAAAGGACCCCCGCTAAGTCGACATGTTCCTTTGGTCTTGTCGATATTCAATGTTGGAGCATGTCCATTGTTGACGATCTTTCCACTGACATATCCGGAGTTGTCACAAGTAAGCTTCAAACCTTTGCCGTTCGGGGCCTTTATTAACGAGCTGGTTTCAATATTTATGGGAGACTGGGCACTCTTGTCACAGTTCTGTGATACTTTTCCCCAGTCCACTGGACCGTAGCCTGTAAAAAAATATTCAACCTGGTTGATTAAATGATTTCCTCTTATTATTACGCAATAGGTTATCAGCAATTGATGAATAACTAAGCTAATCATTGCCTTTAATATCTTGCTCTTTGTTTCACGCAGTGTATCCTCACTGTATCCTCACTGTATCTTCACTGTTCTTAGCACGATAACGATTACTTCAAAATGATCCTTTTCTCGCCCCTTTGTTTACAATGAGGGCCATTCAGATAAATTATTCATCCCTGAGAGGCCAGCGGCAAATAGGCACTGGTCATAAATGCAGTGACACTGTTTCAATTAACTCTGGCGAAGGCAACAGAAAGTGTGTCGAAAACTAAGTATTTCTGAGATCATACCACTTTTTTAGATCAGTTTCACAGATAGTTTTTAAGTTAATACTTATACCTGTTTTATCTGTTTTACCGTACTTCCACTTCGCTCCTGAGAAGAGGGAAGAAAAAAAACATTTTTCTCTGTTTTGTTTTGTTTTTTTTTTTTNGGGGGGGGGGCAGCAGGGATTACGGCGATTAGAATGTACTTATGACCATATTGCGCGTGCTTCAGCGGGCATATGACTAGGTAGTGCTATAAATGTAGCCAGAAGCAGAGGTTATATGCTTCTGATGTAGCTCAAGATGTGTTTGCCATAGCACACAAACAAACGAAGACAGTTGGTTACAAGAACCATCACATCTCACGTCACAGTTCCATTTACTTTCAACGACAGAATGTGGGGTTAAAATTCAGATCCGTAAACCTGGGTGGTACTGAGGACGTCGTTGACACCCTTTTTTATTACCCAACCCAGGGTACCAGAGGTTTCTTCTCGCGCGGCGGACGGAAATACTTCGATTTGCTTCACGAGCGGCAAAGCCGCGAGAAAAAACCTCTAAACGAGAATAGGCCAGCGGGACCAATACCTTTGTCAGCATCGTTGCCAGACAAACACGTGCACGAAATCCATCGATGCTTCAATTCCTTTATGTCGCATTCAATTAGGGCATTTGGAAGGCAAATAATAATTGCAATCGGACTTTTTGGGTAATGGCTGTAGCCCAAATTATGTAGCTCAACACGGAGTCCAGGAATTAGTTGAAATGACAACGATTTCCCCCGAATTCGGTTGGCAGAACCGCAAAAACGTCTTTGGTGCCAATAAAAAATTGCAATTCTATCCCTTTGCTCGGCGCCTAAGTTGTCAACACCGTCGAACGTTTTGAGAACTTTTGTCATGGCTTTGTCATCTTTCACAAAACTTTCAGCGCGCGAACGAACATCAACCTCAACATCCGCCATCTCGATCATCACGTCACCAACGACAAGCACATTATTCCCGACATTTCACAGGCTCTCTCTTTCTCTATTCTTAGAAGCCAATCACCGTGTCTGTTAGATTAGAAAACCCTTGCGAGGTTGTTAGGAGCCAATCACCTTTCTAGTCCAGATTTTGGGCTAGATAGATTTAACCCTTTCAATACCAAACTTTCGCCAAAACATGTCGTTTTTAACCGTTTAGTCGGGGTTTTTGGCTGCCATGACGCTAAATAAGCCTACATTTTAGTAAGAAAGCTTTTTTTACCAAAAGGAAAGACTTTTCGAGGTTAGGTACAAAATTTAACAATATTTTAATTCCGGGCATGCGCATAAGCCAAAATTTGCCATTAACTGTTCTCAATTTTATTTGTTGCCCCTTTTCTTTCTTTTTTTCTCGGCCGTTTTACTCTGGCTACCTTTTGCGTTGCATGTTCTTTCTGGCTGCCGTGAAAAGTTGGATGTTAATTACGGGCGAAGCCTAGAAATGGACCTTGATCAATCATAGGCGTAGTGGACCATTTTACCACCGTTTTTGCACCAAAACTGGTAACGTTGTTTTTCGATTTGCGACGTCGGACCTGACCATTGTAAGCAAAGGCCTAGCCTAGTACTGCTATCTGCTTATCAAGAATATCTGATGACATTTAAATTGATGACGTTACAAGTGGTATACAGAGCACGACCATTAATTACGTATATATGCGGAATTGGGGCTCAAAGGGTTAAACCGGGTTGTCATTAGCGTGGCGCTTATTAAAGAAATCACGCTCTCATCCCCAGGTCTTTCGCTCGTTTCACAATAGAGACATGATCGACACCGGAAACCGCGCAAGAAAAACCTCTGACACCCAGGGTATTATTACCCATGACAATCGAGAGATATATTTTCACAAATTTAGATACCTTAAATTCTCTATTAAGCCCCCCCTCCCCTCTCAAATAAGCCCCCCTCTCTAATAAGGCCCCCTTTTTCCGAGGAAGAAAGTTATTAAGCCCTCCCTCTCTTTGAAGCCCCCCTCCCCTCCCCCCTTGCCCCACACAATCAAGTTAATAAATGATAAACTGCATTTGCAATGTAATCATGACTGTAACGCTTCATACGGACTGATCCAGTATTGTCTAGTCACGTGCTGAAAGTTCGAATTTGTTTTTGATCTTCGGTTGCATGACCTCCAACTTCATGTGCTTGAACTTTTCCATTTTGCGTTCTAGTTCTTTAAGGAGATTTGATACCATCCTCTGGCTGGAATTAAATACA